TGCCGCCGTTCGCCGCCACGCTCCGGGCATGCTGCCCCGTCTCGACGGAGGGGTACTCGCCCCCCGAGGAGGTGCGTGTCTCCGAGCCCTAGCTCCGGCCGTGTCTGGTTGTCTAGTTGGCCGCAAGATTAGCTCTTTCTCGGGGAGGGCGAAGCCGAATCGGGCGGTGTGGCGTACGGTTCCGGCGGATCTCACACTTGCGCGCGCGTTCCGTTGCTCGTGTCGAGAAATTCCTGTGCTGTTCGTGCTTCTTGTCGATGCTGTATTGCTGTTTCTATCTCAGAAGATTAGTTGCTTTTGTTTACTTCGCTGATTAGCGTGGATTCTGCTCGGGAGCCATGGGCAGATAATTTGTTTTCGAAGTTTTTACGGGATGATTAGAGGCGTCTGAATCAAGCTGTGCTTTAGTAGATTCGTTCATTCTTTTTTCTTTTTAGATAGGATCGCTTTCTTTTGATCCCCTTCCCTTGTGGTTGACGGAATTTACATGTTCTTGTGTGTTTTTCAAGTATAAATATAACTCAACTAGTCAACGCAAGAGTATCAAGAACAGTTCGATGTGTGGCCTATGTTCTTGGTCCTTCGTTTTACTTTCTATAGTGTATTATTAGGGTTTGTGAAATCTGTATTTGTGACTATACTCCCCTGAATTCCTGGTTCGTTGAATTATTGCTTTTCAATAATTCATCGCTTGTGATTTGCAACTTTTATATAGGTTAAGGTGTCAACTTTCCAACGAATGAACTGTTTCCCTTATGTTATTTGTGTATTTCTCAGTTGTTTAAGCGTTTGATGCACATGGTCCTAGTTGGAATGACTCAAAAGTTCATTCATTCGGTAGTGAATATCAGTGTAGCATCAGCACTAATGGGCGGAACGCTCAGGACTAATTTAGAGTCAATTAGTGCTACTCGGTAGTATCAGGGACTGGCAGAGATGTATCGGCTAAAAGTTAAATCTAGACCGCTAAATGTTGCTGTGTTCTTTAATTCCGGCAAGAGGCTTAAATGTGATAAGGGAGTATCAAGTATGTATGATTATTTGCAAAGGAGAAAGCAATACCATCGGTTGACTTTTACTGGATTGGCCTGGAGTTTTATCTTGTAGCGTAGCTTTTCGTGGGTCAGTTTGGAGGTTTGGTGTCTAATATGGTATGAAGCTCACTTCGAAAGTTTTGGCAGGTTATTAATGGGGATGAACTTCTCAGGATGTTGGATGGCAAGGAAGAGCACACAGCCGTCCTTTTCTATGCATCATGGTGCCCTTTCTCGCAAAGAATCAGACCAGTATTTGATGATCTGAGCTCAATGTTTCCACGGGTTAAGCACGTGGCTGTCGAAGAGTCCAACGTCATGAAAGCGTAAGACCCGAATATGCTGTAACGCAATTATTACCTTTCATGGGCATTAAAATAGCTAATGCCTGTTACTGAAATCTCTTTCCTTCTTGCAGCATTTTATCGAGATATCATGTCCGTGCACTACCTTCCATAATAATAGCTCGCAGCTCATACGTATTCTGGCCTCTTGGTTCGAAAGATCTCGACTCCCTGGTCAACCTTTACACTACTGCTACGGGTACATATGTTACTCCTATGTTGTTACAATCTTGCGATGTTTATGATGATAAGCTTAAAACGATATGTGTTGTTGTAGTGTCAAACACTAGTTTTACCACACTGTATTGTTCTACTGTATGTCTATACTCTATACTATGGTCTAGGGTTATTAGACCCAGTTACCCAGGGTGCCCCTTTTGACTTGTACAAAACTTTTCAGAACTGACTTGTACATATAGCATGCGAGCTCACTAATTCTAGTAAATTCTAAAGATAGGAGGTTTTCTGTGCTAAGTATTGTTGCAACTACCGTTATATTTCATTATCTTTGTTATACATGCTCAAGTGTTTTTGGTTACTCATCACAAATTGAAATTTAGAATATTATTAGTGGAAAAGAAAAAAAAACAATGTAGTTACTTTCTTGTACTTATTAAATGAGAGTTGGTTTGATGCAGGTCAAGAACCAGTCGCATATATTGGTACTCGGAAGTGGAGCGCAGCGCGAAGCACAGACTATGCTAAGATTTGGAACAGCTCTATTAGTGAAACAGTGAAGCGAGAACCCTACCTAGCATTCAGTATCCTGTTTATTTGCCTGAGGATATTCTTTTTCTTCTTCCCAAAGTTCTTTGCTCTCATCCAAGACTTCTGGACCGAATACTACGAGCAAAGCAACCTTGGAATCCTTGCCAAATTGACCCATGCTGTGGATGTGAGGAAGGTGTGGAGCAAGCTGAGGCTCATGGTTGGAGCTAAGAATGGTAGGATCTGGGCATCTCTAACTTCGGTGTCGCTTGGTGGGCAACCTTCTCCGCGAGTTGCTGTTGGACTGATGGGCTCGACCATCTGAACAGCAACAAAACAAGAGAACGTGCTGATTCATTGAATTGCACTTGACGAAGTAGCTCCTGTAAGGCTGTAACTCACATGAGCATACTGAGACAGATAAGGTCTCTGGCTCTCTGCTCAGAAACATACATCCTGTTTGTAGCATGTAAATCTTAGGGATACCGTGGAGCCTTTGTAAATCATATTGTAACATTAGTCGTCAGTGCCCCCATAAGGCAGGCTGCCTTTGGCAATGAAAATGCAGCATAAGTTTCTTCTTTCCCTCCCCAGAATACATGGTCAAATGCGCAGTTTTATCATGTAATCTGCAATGGTTCAGTGATCAGTGTCATTTTCTGATGTCTTTGAATTTCAGTGTATAAGTCTCTCGTAGTTATGGTTTGCTTCACCCACTCGGTTACTCTGACCTTGTCACTCTTGATTAATAGATGTTAAAACCTGGAACAATGCAAATTCTCCGAGAATCTTCTTTACACGTGCTTCGACAGTCATAGGGGGTGTTTGGTTCGCTCATAAAATTCATGTCACATCGAATGTTTAGATACTAATAAAAAGCATTAAATATAGATTAATTACAAAATCAATTACATAGATAGAGGCTAATTTGCGAGACGATTTTTTTTAAGTCTAATTAATCCATCATTATCATATGTTTACTGTAGCACCACGTTGTCAAATCATGGACTCATTAGGCTTAAAAGATTCGTCTCGCAAATTAGTCGCAAGTTGTACAATTAAATTCGTAATTAGTCTATATTTAATACTCTATGCATGTGTCCAAACATTCGATGTGACAGGAATTTTAGGAGGTCCTGTATAAACCAAATAGGCCCATAGCCAGGATCTGCTCAGACTTTGACAAAAAGGTCCTCCATCTGCATCTCCAGCTTTGTCTCATTGACAAACCTCCTCATGGACGTCAACATTAGAGATGTACTGTACTTGAGGGCAAGCAGCAACTTGCATGGCAAGATCATCAACCAACTCTCTGAAGATGTCACATCAGGAAACAAAGTCAGTCTCACAATCACAAGTTGCCTCTCGCAGTTGCTTGATAAGGGCAGGAGAAACACAGGCTGACTAGGCGCAGAGAAGACCATCAAAATCTTTCTTGTGCTGTCCCAGCAATGGTTCGGTAACAAAGAGCGATATGCGGTGAACTTTTGCTTAGGAAAATGCAGGGTAGAGCATGTCTACAAATGAAAACTCAACATACAAGACTTTATTACCACTCTAAATTGTCACCACTTCAATAAACTAGTTAGAAGAATTATGTTTCACAAGCACACTGTACAACAAATAAAGCTGACAAACTATACAAATTACTACCGACCTGTAGTGATGCTTTCGTGCTTGCTTGTTTTCTCACTCGAGCCTCAGCCTGGTGCAGCCTCAGCGATACCAGCTGTTCTTTCTCCACCTCGCTACTACTAGTGCTATCTGGGGGCCCGTTGGAATTGTAGAACAGTTCAAAACCAATTCTAGGTGAGCTTTCAGATCCAACAGTTTGGTCCTCAGCAGCATCTGCCACAGAAGTACTCCCTCCATTTAAGAAAGAATGAAACCACCGGTTGCATGTCGATAAAAGTAGTTCACGTTTGACTAAATTTCTAGTGAATATTATTCATATTAATGACTCCAAATTAATTTATTATGAAAGTAAATTTCGTAAATAAACTAATGATATTTGTTTGATATCATATATATATTTGATAATTTTTTATTTATAATTGGTCAAACTTAAGATACTAAACGGAGTATAAATTCTTAGTTTCAATCTGAGAATGCAAGGGCTGCAACATCTCTTCACAGTTGCTACTTCTAACACGGCTCTCAAATCTTCACTACCTTCCTCATCTGCCCATAGATGAGCAGCTTCCTCGAGACTTGTGGTAAAGCTTCTATGGAAGAGCTAACCTCCTCTTCCCTCCAGTTTCTGTAGCACAAACTGAACTATCAGTTTCATCCGAATTGCTTGTTTCTCACTCTCCTCGTGATGTTAAAGCAGCCAGGGTAGCTCTTCAGTGGCATAAGCCAGCTCCTGACTGGCCATCTCTTAAATGTATAGCGAAAAATTGAACATATATGAACTCCTTACAATTCTAGAAAAAAATATATTACTAGTATGCAGGACAGGCAATCAGACAAACCTTGAACCCTATATGCGTCTCCTGTTAGGAGAGGCCCGACATCTAGACTGGCATATTGTGACCAACTTACAAACCCACCAAAATACCGTATTCCACCATTCCTCGTACAAAATCCACATCACCTACCACCGTTCCAAGTAGGTCTAAAATCATGGCCTTGGAGGCTTGGATGTTGCAATCGACAAGCCAGCAGAAGTGCATTCAAGTGAGCAAGTGCCCATGATACCATATCATAACTTTCAATTGTTTAAACAATTGTCGCGACAACTCCAGAGGAGATTTAAATCCTTAGGCCTCAGAGTCACAGGTCCCAACAGCATTCCATAACCAACCCGACTGAGCCATCGCAAAGCATGGACTCATTTTCTTATACAAGGGACTAACTTATCGATGTTCTTAGAATTTCTACAGCAGACGCAAACAATATAGGCGGCTCCATTTCAGTTTCCTGCATTGAATTGTTCATCGGTTGAGCTCGCCTCCTTAGTAGCTTTGTCAACAATGACAAAATCAGCAGTGTCAGTGTTTTCCTGTAGCCATCAGAAAGGAAAAGGTCAGGGAGAACTTTCCACTAAGAAACTGTGGTGCGGCTGCAGCAAATCAAACCATCAGCACCACATAAAGTTCTACCGTAACTCTTGGTGCACGATTCTGCACACTCAGTGATCAGGGAAAAGACAGTGAAACCTTTCCTTGTTAACTCCACCCACAAAACCAGCTACAGTATATCATCTTGGAAAAAGATGAAAAGACCTGAATTTCTCAAATAACATTTGATTTCTTTTCTTGGTCATATGAGTTTTTTATCTCACAGAAGAAAAGGATGGGATCCTACCATCACAGATGTTCTAGATGCCAGGACATGTTTGGTCCCTCGCAGTTCTTCATGCTACCATATAAATAATACAAATAATATAAACACAATGGTTCCCCTCTCGTGTTACCAGGCACTATCCATATCTGCATTTAGGCAATGGATATAAAATATCATTCTGAATTTCAGAAATGTTGTCATGCTCAATTTTCGGGGAACTGGGGAAGTGTTCGCCAGTTCAACAACCAGCTTCTGAAAGCTAACATAAAAAACAAGAGTGCATGTTCCTACTTATTTTCTAGTCATCCATGTAACTAGTACTAATTACGTACCACCTTGTCCTCCTTTGAGCCTCTGCTTTCATCATAGTTTTCAGAAGAACCATCCAGCTGGAAAAGAAAAAATAAACAACTTAAGGAAAAAAAAATATGAAAAGGGGCAGTCAAGTCAACAAAAAGCATGAGCAAAAGTCACCTATCATACTACATAGGCCAGACATTCTTCAAGTAGTTAAATTTAAGTATTTCACTATGAAGCTACTACTTACTTTCAAGTTCCCTAAGTTAGCTGACAAGACCTCATTTGTGTCCTCTCCATTTCCTTTGTTCGCATCATTTTCGGTAGCATCTTGAAGCTGGAATGAACAGATTTAAATATATTGTACAGTAAGTTTACATGCAACAGAAATTACAAAATATAATGCAGAAAGGCAAGTAGGCAACTACCCCCAAATTCTTTAAGCTAAGTGACACATCTTCCTGCTGCTTCTTAAGGGTGGTCCTCAGCTCTTGGAAATCCTGGACGAGGCAATATTTTCCAAAAAACCTTAATCTGAAGATGAAAGTTACAGACTTTTTACAGGATGCAGAAGTTATGCTTACTGAACGAAGCTGCTCTATTTCGTTATTGAGTGCACTCTTGATGTCAGAGAGTTCCTGCAAGATAGATGAAGTGGTAAATAAAACTGCCATGCAACCTGCAAGAACTAGCTGCTAGCTTAAGATTAGTGTGGCTTTGATCAAGCCTCAAGGTACGCATCACTTTTAGTTTACACTTTACAAACGCTTAATGGAATCATCAAATGCACACAGCATGCCTTTACAATCGTAAAAGATCCCTAGTAAAGTTTTCAGGACTTACTCAATAATTAGCATACACAAACTAAACAAGAAGGTAAGATCGCACTATAATTGTTAAAAGACAACTAATAATATCTAAAAAGGAAGTATAGATCAGTATATCAAATGACGAACGTGAAGTACAAAGAAACTCACCACTTTGTATTTCGTCACTTGGGAGTCTAAATTACTCCTCCAACTCAGCAGATCCTGAAACATCGGAAAATAAGAAATAATATATCAACATTTCTATCGAGCATCGACTGCGAGGAACGACACGGGTATCTACGAACCAATTCGGTTTCATGCCTGGAAGGTCAACCATAGAAGCAAATTTCTTAATTAGACAAGTTATGGAGCGGTTCAGGGAGCAGAAGAAGGACCTACACATGGTTTTCATTGACTTGGAGAAGGCTTATGACAGGATACCAAGGAATGTAATATGGTGGGCATTGGACAAACATAAAGTCCCAACAAAGTATATTACCCTCATCAAGAACATGTACAACAATGCCGTGACTAGTGTTCGAACAAATGATGGCAACACAGATTACTTCCCGATTAAAATAGGACTTCATCAAGGGTCAGCCTTGAGCCCGTATCTCTTTGCCTTGGTAATGGATGAAGTGACAAGGGACATTCAAGGGAATATCCCTTGGTGTATGCTTTTTGCAAACGATGTAGTGCTAGTTGATGAAAGCTAGGCAGGAGTTAATAGGAAACTGGAGTTGTGGCGACAGACCCTTAAGTCCAAAGGTTTTAGAGTAAGTCGAATTAAAACAGAATACATGAGATGTGACTTTGGCAACACTACACATGAGGAGGGACAGGTGAGTTTGGAAGGTCCAGTGGTGCCTAAGAAAGATACCTTCCGCTATCTAGGATCGATGCTACAGAAGGATGGAAATATTGACACAGACATTTGCCATAGGATCAAAACAGGGTGGATGAAGTGACGCCAAGCATTTGGCATTCTCTATGACAAGAGGGTACCGCAAAAGCTTAAAGGCAAGTTTTATAGAACGGCGATTAGACCCGCTATGTCAGATGGAGCGTAATGTTACTACAAAAGGCGACATGTCCAACAACTGAGTGTCGCGGAAATACGTATGTTGCGATGGATTTGTGGTCACACAAGGATGGATCGAGTTCGGAACGATGATATACGTGACCGTCTAGGGGTAGCACCAATTGAAGAAAAGCTTGTTCCACATAGGTTGAGGTGGTTTGGCCATGTCCAAAGGAGACCTTCAGAGGCACCAGTGCATTGTGGAATCCTAAGTCGAGATACCAATGTGAGAAGAGGTAGAGGAAGACCGAAGCTGACATGGGGAGAAGCAATTAAAAGAGATTTAAAGGGTTGGGATATACCTAGAGATCTTTGTTTAGATAGGAGTGCTTGGAAAGCGACTATTGATTTAGCCCCGAACTGCGACTAGGGGCTCATGTTGGGTTTCAACTCTAGCCTACCCCAACTTGCTTGGGACTAAAAGACTTTGTTGTTGTTGTTGTAATATATCAACATTTCTGCTATGATAATTCCACAAATTTTGAATTGAAATATAGATACCAATGTGGAAAATATCTCAAGCATGCCACCAAAACTCATGAAGACTGGGATTGAACAAGTTATTCTCAAAACCACATGATTCGTATGGCAATAACAAAAACAACATTAAACAGAGTGAATCTAATAAGTTAGCCAAATTAGAACACACCTCCTTAAGCCCACGGAGTCTCCCTAGAAGCTCTGATTGTGATTCACTTAACTCCTGCTCAAAAGAAACAAGACAAGGAAGAAGTTAGTTTTATCACTCTAGAGATCTAAAGGTTACTTCGAAAAGAATTTGCGGCAGATAATAACCTCAGAGCAGAGAGTTATTCCAGAAAAAAAACAAATACAATCAGATATAGCTTCATAATTACTGCATAGACTAGCGGTGTTGTGATTGAGTATGGAGTTAAGAAAGTTACTAAACACCTCTATTCAGAATGTTGGTACTATGCATCAGTTTCATCACACCAAGGACGGTACAGGAATAATGTGTCAAAATTGGTATGAATTTGGGCAAGTGGCCTCAGGTTGAATGATGTGTCAGTTTTCTATTTCTGCTGAAATTCCATTGACTAGGGTCTTTGAACTAGAATGTGTTTATTTTTAAGCTTATCTTTGATCTTCTTGATCGGTAATTTCGTATCAGCCCAATACCTCAAATTTTGAATCACTTCAATAGAAATCTAAAAACATTTGTGTCAGTTCAATCCCATAACCAAATTGGTGATTGTACACGATGAGGAGGTTGGTCGTATCAAAGGATCTGGGCTCTGAAGTGTTCCGATCTTTTCAGATTTTTCAAACAAGAAAGAGTACAAGACCATAGCCCATTGAATTTGGAGAAGGGCCTCACTGGTTACCAAAAAGTGAAGATTTTTTTTTTCTACAAGAAGAATAATAGGAATGCTGATGTGTGATCTTCAGTAAGTTCCGGGACATGTAGTTGCCCAACTTGGTCCCGCAAACCACGCACAGCATCATTTTCGCCCGTGGCAACCGAGCACACGCGAGAAACATTAAAGTAAAAATCTAGGAGAGACAGGAATGGTGGATAGTTACGGAGATCTTTTCCTCCACGGGCAGCAGCTCTTCCTTCCTCTGCAAATCCAACACACAAACCCAAGGCGAACAGAAAAAAAAAACAAAAAACAAATTTTTAGCACAGGAGAGATCAGAGGAACAGGGGACGTGCGAGATGCTCACCGCCGAGGACGGGGAGGTCTCCGCCGGCGCCGCGGGCGGAGGGGGCGCCTCGGAGCCGGACATCGGGAGGGCGCCCACGAGGCGGCGACGGCAGGCAGGGTTAGGGTTTGGCTGCGTAGGGGAGCAGCGGCGTGGCGTTGAGATGGAGAGACGGGAAGGGGAGATTTGAAATTGAAATGGACAGGCACCGACCGAGCGAGGAGGGCGGGCTTTTACACGCATGCCATTAAAAAAATATGTAATTACATATAAGTCATTAAAAAATTTAACCGTACACGAATGTCAGCGTTCTGAGCCATTCCATCGGTGTTCTGTTCGTTTTTCACCATTTGGGAGTACTGACAAATGGGTCCGGTCAATCAAAACGTTCATAATACCCCCCTCATCCCTATCCTCTCTCTCTCAAACTCGACATCATCTCTCGGCTTCGCGCGCACCCCCGGCGGAGCTCGCCCGCGCCCGCGCCCGCGGTGGCTGGCCGGGGCTGAGCTCCCCCGCGCCCGCGGCGGCTGTCCGGGGCCGAGCTCGCCCGCGCGCGCCCGCGGCGGCCGAGGCCGAGCTCGCCCGCACCCGCGCCAGAGGCGGCTGTCCGGGGCCGAGCTCGCCCGCGCGCGCCCGAGGACCGGCTGTTCGGGGCCGAGATTGCCAGGGCGGACCTCCTCGCGTCACCTCCACGCACGCTGCGTCAGATCCACGGCGAGGACCGGCTGCGGCAGCTCCACGCGCGCCGCCTCCTGGCTCTCGCCGCCGCCATTGGGGACGAGACCGCCTCCCTGCACGCTGGGGCCCTTGACGTCGCTGTCAGGGCTCGTGCCACTGCTGCAACTCCCCGCCATCTTCTTCTTGGCCGTGGCGGCGCGGGAGGCGCGCCTGCACCTCGCCCGAGCGCATGGCTGACAACAGAGCCCACCGTAGGGTAAAATGGTTATTTCACTTATCTATTTGGCACCGTTAAGTAGAAAAGCGAATGAAATGACTTAGAGAACAAAGAAGTTTAGAACGATGACACTCGTATGCAGTTAATTTTTTTAATAACTTATGTGTGCTTACAAACTTTTTTATTGACTACACGTAAAAGCCGAGAGGACGAGGACGGGGGAGCGGCTCGAGGCAGCCGAGCCGAACGGTAACTGTTCGGGAGAACGGATCCCTTGATCTGGGCCGTCCGAATCGTCACGACACAATCATTTCAGTTCCGCGTGGACCCTTGATAAGACTTTTCTGACTCCACCACAAAAATACGTACTGTAGTAGTCGCAAAAACAAACACACACAAAACTGTAGTTGGTATTTTACTTTTCAATAAAGAAAGAAAGAAAGAAGACCAAATGCGTTTTTCTACTCTAAATTTATTTATATTCATAACAACTAAAACAGTTTATATTTTGCTTACTCAGATCGAAAATGATCATCTAGGTTTTATCTTGAGTGAAGACTATCTAATTTTTATATAGTTTGCAACATAATTACTAGATTCGCCATAGACAATATATTCGCATCATATAACTCTTTGAATTTGAGATAATATGTTTTTTATACCGCTAGTCAAAGTAGCCTACTTTATATATATATATATATATATTAGCAAATAAATTGACCAGTTTGCCATTTAGGATATATATGTCCCATAGCCGGCGTCTAGGTAGGGCTAGATATCGAGCCAGCTCAGCTCGACTCGTTAATATTATGAGCTAAAGGGGCAGCTCGGCTTGGCTCATTACCGAGCTCGAGCTAGCTCATTTAGCTCGCGAGCTACTACAGAAAAAATAAAACACATATGTTTATAATGTTTATGGTACATTAATTTCAGAATGTGACGTCCACCATTATGCAACCATACATGATTAATACATATCAAGTTCATCAAAAATATCAACCATGCAACATAGCTGGTCCATCCGTGATCATACAGTTACAGCATACTAACTAGTTGCTTTTCACCACAAACTCAGAAAAGTCCACAGATTCAATATCAGCATCATCATCTTCTCCTTGAAAATAATCCATAAAATCAACATTTAAGTACCACAACAATTATAAAATTAAAATTTATATGAAACAGTAGAAAATAAGGATTACATACCAATATAATAGATGTACACTTCTAGGTCAGCATCATCATTTTCTGGATTCATGGTCGTGGGCTGATAGGCCTCAACTCGTGAGCAGCTCGCGAGTTGGCTCGTTAAAATAGCGAGCTAGACTTCCAGCTCAACTAGTGAAAAAGTTAAAACAAGCCAAACTGAGCCGGCCACGAGTCGAACGAGTTGACGAGCCGTGAGTATTTTGTCCAATCCTACGTGTAGGGGCACTCCTTCCTCTCCGACCAGGCTACGAGTTGCAAGAAAGAGAGAGGACTCATTTTCATTCACATCTAAGTAGGTGCAACAAACAGATGGGACTCATCTTCCATTCTCATTTAAGTGGGTTTTAGGTTGCCGTAGATTTAATCTGCACAGAATCTTTTGCGCGGCGTTTCAAAATAGGGCTCGAAGGCAGGTGGCCCAGTTGCCCGCCTCGGTTATTCAAGGCAGGGCATCCGGGCCAGTAACCGTCTCGGTTAATACTTAATTGAGATGGACAATGTAACGAAACCGTCTCGGTTAATGCTTATTAACCGAGGCGGTTGCCCTAACGCAACCGCCCGCTTAATACATTAATTGAGGCTGTCGCTCCAACACAACATCCTCCATAAATCAGGCGCACCCGATTGAAAAGAATTGTAGCGCGCAGTTGGATCAGTCGATGGCCCGGATCGCTGACGTGGAGTCCTTGGAAGGCTGGATCGGAGGCCGCGTGGAGTCATCTTGACCATCAATTTGTTTGTGCTTCTTCACTGAGAATGACAGGCGAGCCCCACGTGACATCATCTCCAGCCTAACCAAGAAATATCTCCCCTCCCTCTCGCGTACGCCCGCACTCCCTCCCGACGCCGCACATCTCCCTCAGTGCCCTTCTCTCTCCATCGGCACCCTCCAACTCCATCTGCGACGCGCCCTCCACCTTTGGCCGGCCCCTCCCCTCTAGAGCTCGACGGCACTCCTCTCATCCCGAGCACGACGGCACCTCTCCATCACGGCGTAGGGAGGCTAGATCCGGTCGGGGCGGTGTGGAGCGGCACGGTGGCCGCACTATGCGGGGCGCGCGATGCCAGTGGTGGCGCGGGATGGCGCCGTGCGGGGCGCAAAGTGGCGAGCGGCGCAGTGGCCATGGTGGCACATGGGCCCAGCGCGCGGCGTCCCTCTCCTCCGAGCATGGCACGGCGCTGCCGCCCTCTCCTCCAAGCTCCCGGCACGGATTCGCCCTCCAACCGGCCACCGGCGGTGGATCCGGGCACTGGAGGTGGGGGGGTACAGATCCGGTCGCCAGCAGCAGCAGATCCGGTCAACTGCGGCTGCAGGTGCATGGATCCAGCCATTGGCAGCTGCGGGGGCATGGATCCGGCCACGAGCAGGGCGGCGCGTGGGACCGGGCTTGGTGGGCTACCGGGCTCGGTGGGCTTTTTATTTTCTAAAATTATTTACGGAGACGGGCTACTTAACTCAACCGCCTCGGTTAATATGTATTAACGGAGGCGGTTGTTAAAGCCGCCCGCCTCGATTATTCGATTAACCGAGACGGTTGGCCAACCTCCTCGGTTAAGGCACGATTAACTGTGACATTTGGACCGAGGCGGTTGGCTTGCCCGCCTCGGTTAAGCCATTTCGCCCGCCTCGGTTAAATTTCCTGTAGTAGTGAAATTTACTGACGAAATCATCACTAATGTTTGTCCGGGAGTTTGTTACTTGCGATACTTTAATAATAACTATAATGAGGTCGCCATCACGGGAGTCATTTTAATCAGCAAGAAATCAATTTGTGGTTACTATCCGCAATGACAAAGATCGTCGTGATCACTTCCTGCGAGGATATTAGGTCAAGGTTGTCGACCTCATTATTGATGTCCGCAGGGAGGAAATCAAACGGCTAACTTGACGGATCAATGATTCGAGGCGCTGAATATGCGACATGTGTAGTAACGACTCTTTTATCAATGTAGATGTGTTTTGGTCTAATTCTGGAATGTGGAATCTTGTAGAATGTCCAAAGTTTTATGATTGGTCGAAGGATTCATCATGTGGATTGTACTCTTAATTCGATGTTCAATGGAACCAAAACCACCGGAGAATAATATGATAGAAGGGCTCAATGGACTATTGTTTATTTTCATTTTAAGTGTTTTTTATATGTATTGGGATGTATTTTGTCTGAGTTTTACATAATTCCTCCTTCCGTTTTGTTGCGTAGAAAACCAAACAAGTCCAACAAAATTGAGTCTTTTTCCTAATTTTGTACATGTGGGCAATATATACTTAGAACATAACAAAATGAGCAATGCTATACTCGTATACTCCTATCCATTTCCCAAATGCAAAAGAAAAACAAAAGCTGCTTAATTACTTATCTATATGTCAAGCATTTTTGCCCTGACCTAAAACACACCAGCAATATATCCAATAATAACTTGCTTCAATTCACGAATGGTGGAACTCATGGGTGGTCAATGCAGCTGCGTGATGAACCGTTCGTTCATCAGAAGTTCTCCTTATGGAAGACGAACTTGGTGGTGGTCTTGTGGGAGAAGTCCTGCGACAGCCGCCGGAGCTCCGGCGTGACCTTCTGGTCGCCGCAGTAGAAGACGCCGACGCGCTGGCCCTGGTGGTTGCAGGCCACCCGCTTGAAGACGTCCCGCCAGTTGGGCCGGGCGAAGTGCGTGCGCACGCGGGTCCCGGACACCACGTCGACGCCGCTCTTGGCGTGGTGCAGCGCCTGCAGCATCACCAGCAGCGCCGACCGCGCGTCCCCTTCCTCGTACACGCTGGTGCAGTGGTTGTGCAGCTCCACCACGTCGCCACGGGCGTCGCGCTCCGCCACCTCGTTCATCACGCCGCGGAACCACTCGAAGGAGCCTTCCTCCCGCGTGCACCAGTAGAAGTACACGCGCCGCGTCATGAACTCCGCCACCGCCGGCGACGCCGACGCAGACGACGGCGCCGCTGGCTGCTCTTCGTCGGAGATGTTGTTGAGCACGTCCTTGACGATGCTGATGAGCGGGGTGGCGCCGATGCCGAGACCGATGAGGAGGAGCACGTCGTACTTGCGGTAGTCCTGCGCGGGGGCACCGTAGGGCCCGTCGATCAGCAGCTTCGGGAGCTTGCCGGACGCCGCGGCCGTGGAGGACGCGAAGTCGGCCCGCAGGAGGCCGCTCTGCCCGGCGGCGGGCGGCCGGCAGACCTGCGCGAACAGCGCCCTGAAGCTGGTCGTCCAGTCGCCGCGGCACCGGATGTGCATGCTCAGGTAGTCGTCGCCGGGCGCAGAGGTGATGGTGAACGGGTCTGCAGCCACGAACGAATTAAGCAACAGATAGATCAACATCCATGACGGAGGCGGCGGCTTACCACTCGAACGGCGAGACCTCGCCGCAGTTGACGTAGATGTACTGCCCGCTCTTGTAGCTGAACCCGTGCGGCTTGCTCATGTGAATGGCGATGACATTTCCGGGGTACAGGGCGACCTTCTCGATCCTCACGGTGGTGAGGCCATGGGACCTCAGCGCCCGGAGAAGCCGCTCGCCGGCGTAGAGCAGGATGGGGATGGCGAGGTACATCCATGTCTGAATTTGCATCATTTCAAGCGACAGATTTTGTCAGGACAAACCACACAAGAACATGATGTTGTCGAAGAGATAATCCAACAAACAATGCATTGAACTGAAAACTTAATCTGAAACAAAAAATCCTCACCGTCTGCTTGTACCACGTCCTGTTGATGTAGAGGCAGACGCCGTGGACGACGAAGGCGACGTAGACGATGACGAAGAGGTGGTGCGAGTACCAGAACATGTTGAATCCGCTGAGCCGGCGCAGCGGGTTGCCCTCGCTGAGCCTCCCGCGGCGGAACCACGGGTGCGCCAGCGTGTAGGCGACGGCCATGAGCACGACCATGATGACGCCGGTGACGCCCTCGACGCCCTTCACGAACCACCAGTAGTCCGGGATCCGGCGCTGGCCGAAGTATGCCTTCATGGGCTCGTACGCGGCGGCGCTGGCGTGCAGCAGCCTTGGGAAGTCGCACGTGAGGTGCGTCACGGCGTGCAGCGCGACGCCGACGGCCACGCCCCCGGCGACCACCTTGTGGAAGTTGATGTTGTCGTTGAACGGCACGGCGGCGCCGAGCCTGGTCCGGGACCGGAGCCATGTGATGGTGTTCCGGCAGACCGGGAGCAGGATGAGCGCCATGTTGAACTTGGTGGTCTCGGCGCCGCCCTTGGCGACGCAGACGCAGTAGCCCATCACGCGGAACGTCGGGTGGCGACGGTACGCGGCGAACTTCCAGCGAAGAGCGCCGCGTTGATGGACAGCCACAGCGTCATCACCCACACGCGCTTCCAGTTGTCCTCCAGGAAGTAGAGGACGCCCCTGGCGGCGCGCCGGAGCGCGCTGTCGTCGCGCGCCGGCGCCAGCCTCTGGCTGATCAGCTGGCTGATGTTGGAGCTGTGCGTCACCAGCCTCGTCGTCGGCGCCTGCGACGCCGGCTGCAGCAGCAGCGACTCCAGGTTTGCGATCTGTTTCCATGTGTTTTGTTTGATTGGTTCAGAGGTCAATGTCAGGCTGATGCAGAATTGAGAGGCAAGCAGAGCAAGAGTATGAACCTCGATGTAGCCGAGGTTGTCGGGATCGAGCTCCTCCATGATCAGTGCGGTGTACTCGTCGACGCGCTCCAGGATCTTGGACAGCTTGTTGGCAGAGGCGGTCAGAGTGAGGACCTGATGGTGCATGGAATTCAGAAAGTTCAGATTGTTAACTGAATTGAGCAAGTGAGACAATGTTTGTAACCATTGATCCATTTCATGGACTAGTTTCATTACCTCTTTGAGCTCCTCTTCAGTGATCTGGCCATCGGCATTCTTGTCAACCCTGCAACAAGTTGACAATCAAGCAAGTTCAGACAAGGACAGACTTTCTGAAAGTCGTATCAGAAATTCAGAATGCACTTTGCTAGTAACACAGGATTAAACCCATGACATACATGTCAAAGAAGGTCTGAAGCTTGGCATCGAATCCTGGATCAGAAAGCTGCTCCCAGAACTCGCGGACCTGATCCTTGGTGAGCACCATGGCTGTGATGCCCCTTCGCCGTGCAAGGGCGTCGAAGATCTGCGCAGCGAACTCCTCGGATCCAACCATCCCTGCAGTGCAGTGCAGCATGACATTAGGTGCCAAGAACATTTCATTGATTCAGTACGGGCAGCTGTAGCATTGTTATTAGCTGACAGAAATTCAGACATGTTCAGAGTTTTTTTTTTCTCAAACCAAATGCAAGAAAGAAAAAGTGGCGGGCGGTGACTCACCGATGCACTGGCCGAAGCGTGAGCGGAGCAGGAAGCCGTCGACGGCGAGGCGGTGGAAGCGCTTCTCCACCTCGGTCCATCCCTCGGTGACGGCGGCCTGGTTGAGGAACTGGAGGCCCCTGAGCGCGCTGGCGGCGCCGGTGACGACGCTCCTGTCGAGCCTGCTGGGGCGGTCGCGGTCGCGGCGGAGCAGCGCCGAGAGCGGCACCGCGGCGCGCTTCCCCGACGCGATGCGGCCGAGGTGCGCCCGTGCGGCCCTGAGCTTGGACGACAGGCCCCCCGAGACCGATGAGGTGGGTGGGTGGTCCAGGGGCGCCGCGGCGTCCTGCGCGTCGCCCAAGACGCCGCCGGCGTCGGCAAGGACGACTTCCTTGATGGCCCGGACGGCGACGTCGCCGCGGCCGCCGTCGTCCCGGACGTCGAGCGTGACCTCGACGTACTCGTCCTCGTCCTTGAACCGCGTGCTCCGGCGGCTGCCGCTCTTGCCGTCCGTGGACGGGCTCTTGAACGCCGTCGGCAGTGGTGGCCCCGCGCCGCCGCCGCTCTCGTGCTGCTGGCCCGACGACGACATGGCGGAAGACCGAGTTGAATTAATGGAAGAAGTTCCTGCAATGCATTGCGACGGCGAGAAGACGTCAGCACCGGCCACCGGATGGTCGTCGAGAACTCGACATGGTAGCAGAAGCTTGTAAATCTTTCATGCTCCCTCTCCTTGGATTGGATGACAATGACATGGCAATGCCCCTGCCGTTTTGTTCAAAAAAAAAATCGAAAAAGGACTCGGCATGAAGAATTTCTTCTGGTAGGAGAAAGAAACGTTGGCATCAATCAAGTTCTTGCTCGTACGTACTTGCATCAGATGTTCAAAGTGTGATGTTGCTGTCAAGAAAGAGAAAGAGAAGAGAAATGACATGACATTCTCCTGAGATTTGGTCGCCAGTCCTTTCCACCATGACGATGAATGGAATGGATAACAGTTTTGTGAAAGCTGAGAAGAGAAGCTGAAAAATAGCAGAAGCAAGTGACAAGGACCGGACTTTGGCGTCTCTCTCTCCCAGCTCGAATGAAACACTCGAGGAAATCTACATTCATGCAGGGTGCAGGGGAAGGGGACGCGAAAGCAAAGCAGAACGGGCAGGCACTCACCTTGCGCAGCGCAGCGGGCAAGAAGGAGAATGCTGTGTGCTACTGCTAGCTCTGACTGCTGAGGGATATATAGACAGTGCAAATGTATGCAATGCAGCAGGCACGCACGCACAGACACAGGACAGGAGCTAGTAGCCTCCAAAATATCTTTAATACCTACAGGACTGGATTTGGTAGCTGTGCCGCAGTTAACTACGCGGTGGATGCTGAGGACATTGATGGGTCACCTCACCACCAGGAGAGTTTTCGATAGCAGTACTACTCGTGTTGGCTTGGGTGAGGGAAAGACAGCAAAGCAAAGCAAGTCAGATGGAAGACAGAGTGAGCATGCATGCATGCATGATGATTGGAGGAGGTGAAATACAGGGGGCGGCCCCAAGGTTAGAGCTTCGAATCCGGCAGCCGGGTCCGAGGCTCATCCTCCTTGCTGAGTTCCTGGACTAGGTGGAGGCCAGCCAGGCCACAGGAGGGAAACCGGTGAAGCCGCTCTGCCGGTTTTAGGAGTACTTGGACTGTATATTCGGCGGCCGCGGTTCTGTCTGTAGCCTCTCTAGTTAGGTGTTTGCACGTTCTTTCTTCCTGTGTTTGCCGCGCGTGTGTGATGAGCACCTTCTGGCACAACACTTGCAACGGTGCCTCTTTTTTTTTAATCTCCTTCTGAGTCCAGACACTTGCAACAGTTGCAGCCGTATGTTTGGCGCCAAAAAGTTGATCAACAACATGCCAAATACTTACTCTACGTGCAAGTGGCAAACAAAGTCCCGTGAGACTTGAGAGGTTGGGGTGGGAAACCGGGCGTGCGTCCCCCTGTTTCTGAAATCTGAATGCCGTCCAGCGTGACCATCGGATGGGGGGAAACGCCTCGCCTTGTCGTGCGTGCGCCTTTGTTTCCGCATGCACGCCACATTGGACGACGACTCTTCAACAGGAGCATACTACTTGCGTGGGTGCTGCTTACGCTGCAACGTGGGCCCTTCCTTCTCTGTGGGTCCACTCGTCAGTGAGCTTGTAGCTGTACGGCTGTCCTACCTACAGCAGCCTGTTCGCTTGCTCGTAAACGATCGTAAATTTTCAGCCAAGAACCACACCAAACCAGTTATCAGTAAATAATCCACAATACGATACGGCTTTCCGAACAGGCTACTAGGCTCCCTCCCGTGGAATGGAATATAAATAAATAAATAACACTGCTGCCGTTCCGTACATGCAGCTTTAGCTTAAGTACCCGGCCCCGGTATCATAATCAGATTGTGCTCCGGTCAGACCGTGACCTGCTAATCCGTTTTAAATTATAAGTCGTTTTAATATTTTGATCCATCAAATTTGTTATATATCTAACCATATTATTTATCTAGATGCATAACAAAATCGATATATAAAAAAAAGCTAAAACGACTTATAATCTGAAATAGAGGGTTCGTGTCAACACAAAGACAAGAGAGGCAGATAGAGTATATTACTTAATAATAATTTCATCGTTAGCATTGCCATTACATCGTCCTTGGATTCGTTGCTGGCCGCCGTGTCGTGGTCTACCTTTTTTTTTTTTTTGGAGTTTGACAAATAATGGTCGTCTGCCGCATGCCGTATGTAGCCCGAGCCCCGGCCACCACCAACTCAGCAAATCCTGTAGGCGTTTTCCACTCCCTCCCCTAGTTTCTCTCACAATCTCTGTTTCCTTTTGTTTATTACTGTTACCCAAAACTCCAAAAGGATATCTTCTTCCATTTTAGTAGTCACTCATCAGGATTTGGAACAATCACACTTTATTGTTACTGTCGACCAACGATTACTTATTATATGTATGTTTAGTGTATACATAGTTATATATATGAATAAACTCATATTCAAAATATCATTTATTGTATTTTTTTCATCACGTTACAGACGCAGACACTTATATATCCACGTACATTCACCTCTACGAATGTACACACCCTACTGAGCCTATGGGCACCTCTGAAATATAGATTAGTTTTAGTATATATGTTAATGTATTTTTCTGTAAATTTGGTTTAAGTTAGACACAGTAAGTTTAACTTTGAACAAAATTAAAGCAAACCATCTTAGTATTTTACAAGAGGGTGGGAGTACCGGAGTAACCTGATGAGCTGATCAATAACGCTTGCATGCATCTGTCCAAGCCGTCATCAAATGTCATTTGTCAAAGAAAAAAGGTGACCCTGCTAAAGTTCAAAGAAACGCGTTGGTGGTTATCGCGTTAACACGTGCTATCTCGACTGGAATCGACTAATTAAATCGAGCATTGAAACGTCAACGAGTTCACCCAATGAAACCGGTTTGGTGACTCCGGCAGGAGCATGTGCCTCGGGAATCTCATGAGCACAGCTGTCTGGTGTCATTTTTTTTCTTTATCAATATAAGATGGTGTATTTTTTTTCTTTATCAATATAAGATTGATTTTCTATTTTTTTTCGCGAGACCAAGCGCGAACGCTCGTACGCGCGAGCGTACCAGTAAAATGAATTAAAAAATATAAGCACATAGATCAAGTCAAAGACTTAAACTCAGATGAGCCTCTCCACCACCACAAACCTAACCAACTCTGCTACTGCCATGAAAGGTTGCCAAAGGCAACGTGGAAGGTACGTAACAAGGAGGACAAGAACGAGCAAAAGGCTTCAAAGCTTGTACAACGAGCCAGATGATGATGAATGGAGCAATCATGGATGGGTTGCTTTGGACTAGGATCAGGATACTTTAATAATTAGGGACTTTGGTTTTCAGTTTCATAGTCCGGAGATCTTATGACAATCATTTAATAGTTTATTGTGGACTGTCCATGTAATTATGAGGTGTTGTAGTTTGAAGACCTGAACGAGAACGACGCAGTTGTGATTTACTCAAAGGACTATATATAATACAAGTACAAGAGCTATCTAGCATGCACTCATGCCTCTTTGAATTGAACAAACTAAACCCAGAGCTCATACGCATGCATGCAAGAGCTTGAACCAATTAATGCAAGCACTTCAAAGCTGCTTGAATAACCTAGCTGGCTAGCTCTTTGAAACTAGCCAATGGGTTCTGTGTACCGAGTCTCTGATATGGTTCTTCGACAAGAACATAATTGAAAAATGATTCGCCAACGAAGGTACATGGTTGCAAGATGCAATCCACGAGAGACAAACAAAATGAAAATAATAAAAATAAAAAATGGTAAAAGGGAAATGCGCATCCGGGGAATCGAACCCCGGTCAGTACCGTGGGAGGGTACTATGATACCACTACACCAGATGCGCCTGTTTTGTTGCAGTTCCACTTATACTAATCCTATCGAGCTATGCCGGACGGAGCAGCATAAACCACCGAGGCCAAGCGACGGATCAGATCGAGTTGAGAGCCGCATCTCCCAAAGTCAGCACGACAAAAAGTTCAAAACTCTGGGCGACGCAAGGTGCATGCATAATCCATGTATCACTTTTATAAATTCATTCATATGAACAAACCCCTTTCAGTTCATCCCTCATTCCATGAGAGATTATTAACAAATTCTGAGCAACAAAGTATTTGAATGATAGAGGTATAAAGTTTTCAGAATTACTTCCTAACAGTGTATCGTATAAGATTACTAATAGGCGAATAAGATTGATCACCTTAAAAACTAGTAAAATCAGGCATACGACTATTAGGAAAACGAACGCAGCTGGACATCATGAGCGCTCGAGTGGGAGGGGTTTCGTTGCGTGCATTTACTGATTGCTAGTGTGTGCTTGGACGTGGATGTGGATGGTATCGTGAAACGGCAACTATACACGAACAGGTGTGAGGAACAGACGTCTCTTCACGAGGGATCTCATCCATTGAATACATGATTAATGGATAGGATTAAATAGTTAGTTTGGGAACAGTTGTGTCGCTTCGACACACCTCTTCATATGTATATATATCCAGAGATCAATGAAATTGACACTTCTTCGTTGACACTTCTTCCAAATCTTGTTCTTCTAACAGATGGAAACACCAACATCACGACAGCTAGTTTGTGCTTGAATTTCAAAACATGTATGGCATTTTTTTTGTTTGTTTGTTGCATCAACCGCAAAACGAATGATCCCAAGGGTGTGGCGACAGAGGGGATGGAGAATGCAAACCTTTGTTGAGATCATATCATCCCATGGGAAGCACAAGCCTGAGCGTCAACGATGATGTCACTCCAACGGAAGTAGACCAGCCTATGGTATGTTGTGAACAAAATATGCTCTTGATTTCTACTGCACACACTCATGGATAGTAGTACCGGCTGATGTGATGATAAACCAAATGTATGGAGATTCAGTAGGATGCATATAATATCATTATTAGTATTTACTATATCTAGGGGTAACATTATTGAGAATGGTAACTTTAAAGTTTGGAAAGAACAAGCTGCAGCGACAGTGCGTCGCCAATAACATCATCAAT